AAAAAAAGTACTGCTTTACTTGACAGCCACTAAGATATGTAAATAAATTCTTTCGTAATCTTTGTAACATAGCCATAGTCATATAATTATCATAATAAAAATTCCAGTCACGGGCTGGGAATGTGGCTTAGTGGTAGAGTGTTTGCCTAACGTGCATGAAGCCCTGGGTTCAATTCCTCAGTACCACATAAACAGAAAAGGCCAGAAGTGGCACTGTGACTCAATTGGTAGAGTGCTAGCCTTGAGCAAAAGAAGCTCAGGGATAGTGCCCAGGCAGGAAAAAAAAAATTCCATCAGGCACCAGTAATCCTAGCTACTTAGGAGGCTGAGATCTGAGGATTACTGTTCAAAGCCAGCCCAGGCAAGAAAGTTCATAAGACTCTTACCCCCAATTAACTACCAGAAAACCAGAAACAGAGCTGTGGCTCAAATTGGTAAAGCGCTAGCCTTGAGAAAAAGAGCTCAGGGACATTGCCAGGTTCTGAGCTCAAGCCCCACAGCCAACAACAACAATAAAAAAAAAATCCAAGTAAAAACTGAATAGTTTAATTACAAAACCATGTATTCAGCTGCTAGTGACTCAGAACTATAATCCTAGCTACTCAGGAGGTTGAGATTGTGGTTCAAAGCCAGCCCAAACAAACAAATCTGAGAGACTTTTATCTCCAATCAATCAGAAAAAGCCAGAAGTAGAGATGTAGCTCAAGTGGTAGAGTGCCAGCACTAAAATAGTTAAATAAAATAAATAAACGTTATTCAAGCAAAATAAGCACTTACTTCATCTATAACTTTTGAAAACTGTTGTAAAGTAGATGTCATAACTTCATCATCACCTCCCAATGGAAAACGCTGAAAAGTATAAAACAGAGATAAGATATACATTCCTATGTGTGTGAAGGACATCAATTTGTATTTTTAAGTAATTTTAGAGAACTTCTATAATTCTCAATAAGCTCCAAAAAAAGCCATTTTCAGAGTAACTTTCATAATTAATAGACATAAGAAAAATATTTCCTAAGTAAACAATTAACATAATATGCTAGAATGTACAACTGAACATTCAGTTATGAAGTCCTTTCAACTACTAACCTAGAACCTTAAGCAAGACTCAGTTTTTTCATTTGTAAAAAAAAAAACTATATAAGCTCTGTATCTAGTTAATATACCAAACATTAAATCACTAACTAAAATTATCTCAATTAACTAAGGGCTATAGTGGAATTGCGTAGATATATTCTATGAATTCAAGAAAGTTTAGCTGGATGCACAAACCCATGCCTATAACCTCAACTACTTGGGAGGTAAGACTGTGGTTCAAGTACAAACCAAGCAAACAGTTAGCAAGGCCTCATCACCACCAACAAGCCAGAAATGGTAATATGTGCCTGTAATACCTGGAAGACCATAGATAGAAGATTATAGTTCAAGGCTACCAAAGACAAAAAATAAGACTAAAAATTAAAAAAAAAAAATACAGTCAAAAGAAAAAAAAGGCTAGAAATGTGGCTCAAGTGGTAGAAAACAAGCAGAAGGCCCTAAGTTCAAATTCACCCAAGACCATACAAAAAAAAAAAAAAAATCACATAGCAAGACCATAAAAAAAAAAAAAAAAAAAGGACAAGTGTGGTGGCAACATGCTAATAATCCTACTCTCAGCAGGGTGGTAAAATCAAGGCCTACAGCAAGGTCCTGCCTCAAAAAAGCAAAAGAAAGTTTAAGGATTCCTGGTAAGAAAATCTATCACTTTCTCTAATAACAACAGATGCTGGAGGGGATGTGGACAGAAGGGAACCTTACTGCATTGTTGATGGGACTGTAAACTTGTTCAACCACTTTGGAAAGCAGTATGGAGGTTCCTCAAAAGACTCCACATAGAGCTCCCCTATGACCCAGCAATCCCACTTTTGGGCATTTACCCAAATAATCACAAACAAGACCATACTAAAGCTACCAGCACAACTATGCTTATTGCAGCATTATTTACCATAGCTAAGATATGGAACCAACCCAGATGCCCTTCAGTAGATAATGGATCAAGAAAATGTGGTATATCTACACGATGGAATTCTATGCCTCCATCAGAAAGAATGACATTGCCCCATTTGTTAGGAAATGGAAAGACTTGGAAAAATTATATTAAGTGAAGTAAGCCAGGCCCAAAGAAACATAGGTCCCATGGTTTCCCTTATTTGCAATAACTAGTATATAACTGAGACAAGCAGGAAAGGTCAGATAAGATGATGTTAAGCGAAATGAACCCCAAGATAAGGACACAAGTGGTTTTTTTCTTTCTTGCTATTATTTCTAACATATTTATAAGGTACCACGTGATTTTTTGTTGTTGTTTTGTATGTTCCTCCCCCACACCTTAACCTCTGTTTTCACTGTATTTGATGTTGGTATAATTTGAGGAGGGGAAGGGAAAAAACAAATTGTTTAAATAGGAACACAGGTTGACCCACTGCAACAATAAGATGCACAAGATGCTACGTTGAAAAATGAACTTTACAATTTAGGCAGGGGGGTGGCGGGGGATGTAGTTGTGGAGATGGGAGAGAAGGGATGGTAGGGGGAAAACAAAGGAGGAGGCAACAATGCTTGATAGAAATGTACTCATCACCTTGCTCATGTGATTGTAACCCCTCTGTACAGTATTTTCACAATAAAAAACTTATTTAAAAAAAAATCTATCACCTTCTTTTCTTTCTTTTTTTGCCTGTCCTAAGGCTTGAACTTAGGGCCTGGGCACTGTCCCTGTGCTTCTTTTGCTCAAGACTAGCACTCTACCAGTTAAGCCACAGCACCACTTCTGATCTTTTCTATTTATGTGCTACTGAGGAATTGAACCCAGGACTTCATGCATGCTAGGCAAGTCTTCTACCAATAAGCCACATTTCTAGCCAAATCTGTAACTTTCTATACCACCATGTTAAATTGTGCTTTTAAAACTTTGATATACAATACCTGTTTTTCATATTCTTTTAAAAGTTTTGAAGTCAGATGTGTTGCTGCACTTAACTCATTCTAAAAAAAAAACATAGCAATCAAATTAGCATAATATTACTGATTAGGAAAAGAGTCTTAGTTGAAGATACCTAGGCTACTTTTACTTATTAGCACTTAACATAAATGTTCAACAAATTTTTGAAAACTCTCATTAAAAAAGAACTGAAACCCAAACACTGTCAAGAAATCCAACAGCTCTAGGTATATGCTCTTTCCTTGTCTCTTCTGACTAATAAAAAGTAATCATTAGCTAGGCACCTGTGGCTCACACTTATAATTCTAGCTACACAGGAGGCTGAAATCTAAGGAAACTAATTCCAAGCCAGCCCAGGGAGAGATTCTTATCTCCAATATGATTGTAAGAGAAATTCTTATCTCCAATAAATTACCAAAAAACAAACAGAAAAAAAAAAGTGAAGCTGTGGCTCAAGTGGTAGAGAGCTAGCTTTTAGCAAAAAAAAGCTTGAGAACAGCACCAAGGCCCTAACTTCAAGCCCCAGCACAGGCACCAAAAAAAAAAGCTGGAGCTGTACATAATTGTATATAACCTTAACAAAATCTTGAGAGACTCACAAAATCTTGAGAGACTCTACATTCATGACCCATTATTGTCTCTAGGGGCTGATACCAGATTATAAGAATTTAGTATCAGGGCTGGGAAGATGGCTCAGTGGTAGAGTGCTTGCCTTGCATGCATGAGGCCCTGGGTTCAATTCCTCAGTACCACATAAGCAGAATAAGTTGGAAGCAGCGCTGTGACTCAAGTGGTAGAGAACTAGCCTTGAGTTGAAGAGCTGAGGAGCAGTGCCTAGGCCCAGAATTCAGGCCCCACAACCAACAACAACAAAAAAAAAAGAATTTAGTATCAGATATAGCTAAAATTAAAAAAAAAAATGGGCTGGGAAGGTGGCTCAGTGGTAGAGTGCTTCCTTGCATGCATGAAGCCCTGGATTCCACTCCTCAGCACCACATAAGCAGAAAAAGCCGGAAGTGGCACTGTGGCTCAAGTGGTAGAGCGCTAGCTAGCCTTGAGCTGAAGAGCTGAGGGACAGCGCCCAGGCCCAGAGTTCAGGCCCCACAAATGGCAAAAAAAAAAAAGAAAAAGAAAACTGCTACTTATTAACTGAATATTTGTGTTCAGAAATCAAATGCTGAGAAACCTACCACAGAGGAGGGAAAAAAGTTATAGCAACTTTCATATAGGTATGAAAATGTAACTAAGGAAGAGAATGGGGGGAAAAAAGAAAATGTGTATACTTAATCCCAGAGTAAATACATCACAGAATTCAAATTGCTGTTAAAGCTTAAGTTATACAAGGCTAGGCATGGTAAGGCATGCCTGAAATTCCAGTTTAACAAAAGGCATAGGTAGCAAGATCATAGTCTAAGTCTAAGGGCAGCTCTGAGAAAACAATTAGTCACTATCTGAAAATAACCTAAAAAAAAAGAAGTGGAAGCATGATTCAAATGGCTGACAGCCTGCCTCACAAACTCAAGACCCTGATTTCAAACTCCAGGTGTAACTCAACTCCTATGACAAAATCTATTCTTAAAGCCTTCTTAAATTCAACTGTGTACCTCAGAGCTATATCTAATTTTTATTACCATTTAATAACTAAACAGAAATCCTCTACTCAGGAAGGAGACAACCCTATCCCACTGTAATCCTAGCTACTCTGGAGGCTGAGATGTGAGGATTCCAGTCATGGGGCTTGAACTCTGGGCCTGGGGCACTGTCCCTGAGCTCTTCACCTCAAGGCTAGTGCTGTACCACTTGAGCTATAGCGCCACTTCTGGTTTTCTGGTGGTTAATTGGAGATAAGAGTGCCATGGACTTTCCTGCCCCAGCTGGCTTTGAACTGTGATCCCCAGATCTCAGGCTCCTGAGTAGCTAGGATCACAGGCGTGAGCCCCAGCACCCGGCTGGGATTTCATTTTTTTTTTTAATAAGAAAGCCCTTTCTGTATTTGGATAGAGGGATGATATTTCAATGCTATCCTTTTCATAGTGCTACAAACTGTACATCAGTAATTTAATGTAAGCTTTGTAGTACAATATACTCAATATTCATTGACCGTTTCAACAAAAACACTATGAGCCCAGGACAGGGATAGGCACCAGTAAATTAGATAAGACATTATCTTGGTCCTCAAGTCCTTAAAGATTCATTATTTAAATAACATGTATTAACTCAGCATCCGTGGCTCACACCTGTAATCCTAGTAACTCAGGAGTCTGAGATCTGAGTATTGTAGTTCAAAGCTAGCTGGAATATAAAAAGCATGCGTGACTCTTATCTCCTACCACCAAAACGCCAAAGTTAAGCTGTGGCTCAAGTGGTGAGCACCACCCTTGAGAGAAAAAAACTAAGGTACAGTGGCCAAGCCCTGAATTCAAGCCCCAGTACTATCCATAAATAAAGAAAGGCCTTGACATTTTACCTGTGCATCATAAATCCGATGCATAGCTTGATACAATTGGTTCATATAGTTGGAAATGGCTGTGGCATCTTCTTCAAATACACCCAGTAAAGATCTTGTCTGTATAAAATGAGTAAGTTCATGTTAATCATTACATAAATCAGATGAAAAACTTTCATAAAGGAAGTTAAAAATCCCAAGATAATAGAACTCTAGTAATTCTGACTCTACACCTTTTTTTAATTCATTTGTTATTATAAAGATGATATACAGAAGTGTAACAGTAAATCAGATAAAGAGTACATTTCTTTTTGGACAATGCACCTCTTCCCTAGCTCTCCCCTAGTTTCTCCCTCCCATCCCCACCCACAAGTTGTATAGTTCATTTCAACATAGTGTCACTGCTGTATTTTAAACCTATTTTTTACATTAATGTCAAAAAATCAGAGTTTTTTGTTCTCAGTTTCACTTCATCCAAGAACTATTTTCCAAAAATCATAGTAAGTAAGTAAGCCAGACCCAAAGAAATAAAGGTCCCATGGTTTCCCTTATTTGCAATAAATAGTATATATCTAGGATACTCTTATCAGATGAACAGAAAAGCTCAAAAGCTATGTACATATGACCATATAAGATAACACTAAGCAAAATGAACCCCAAGATATGGACACAGGAGGTTTTTCTTTGATGCTGTTCTTTTTTTTTTGTCGGTCATGGGGCTTGAACTCTGGGCCTGAGCACTGTCCCACAGCTCTTCAGCTCAAGGCGAGCGCTCTACCACTTGAGCTACAGTGTCACTTCGGTTTTCTGGTGGTTTATTGGAGATAGGAGTCTCACGGTCTTTCCTGCCCAGGCTGGCTTTGAACCGCGATCCTCAGATCTCAGCCTCCTGAGTAGCTAGGATTATAGGCATGAGCCACCAGCGCCCGGCCTTTGATGCTGTTCTTAATGTACTATGTGATTTTCTTTTGTTTCTTTTGAATGTTCTTCCCCCTATGGTATATCCCCTGTTGTCTTTGTATTTGATTTTGGTACCCTGCATTTTGTATATACATTTATTTAATTTGGGCAGGGGAAGGGGAATAACAAAATGCTGACAATGGAATAGAAGATCCAGAAATAAAACCACATGCCTACAGTCAGCTGACATTCAACAAAGGAGCCAAAGACATACAGTGGAAGAAGCACAGCCTCTTCAACTACTGGTGCTGGGAAAACTGGGCAGCCACATGCAGAAAACTAAAAGTGGACCACAGCCTATCACCATGTACCAACATCAATTCAAAATGGATTAAAGACCTTAACATCAAAACTGAATGTCTGAAACTACTGCAGGACAGAGTAAGAGAGACATCTGAACTTATAGGCACAGGCAGGAACTTCCTGAACAGAGTCCCAGGGACACAACAAATTGGAGAGAGACTTGACAAATGGGACTACCCTTAAAAAAAAAAAAGCTTCTGCACAGCTAAAGCTATAGCAACCAAGCTAGAAAGACAACCAACTAACTGGAAAAAAATATTTACCAGCAATATATGAGACAAGGGGTTAATATCCAGTATATACAAGGAACTCAAGAACTCCCTCCCAAACCTAACAAACCAATTACTAAATGGACAAGGGAACTAAAGATAGACTTCTCAGAAGAAGAGATAAAAATGGCAAAGAAACACATGAGGAAATGTTCATCATCCCTGGTGGTGAAGGAAATGCAAATAAATACAACCCTGAGATACCACCTTACCCCTGTCAGAATGGCCCACATCCTCAAGTCAGTCAACGACAAATGCTGGAGGGGATGTGGAGAAAGAGGAACCCTATTACACTGCTGGTGGGAATGTACACTTATACAACCACTTTGGAAAGCAGTCTGGAGGGTCCTCAGAAAGCTAAATATTGACCTCCTTTATGACCCAGTCATACCACTTCTAGTCATCTATCCTGAACAACAGGAACCAGTATACAAGGACACGTGCACCTCCATGTTTATTGCAGCACTGTTCACAATAGCCAGGATATGGAACCAACCCAGATGTCCCACCACAGATGAATGGATCCAAAAATTGTAGTATCTATACACAATGGAATATTATGCAGCCATTAGAAATGACAAAATAATGGCATTTGCAGGGAAATGGATGGAGCTAGAGGGAATCATGCTGAGTGAGGTAAGCCAAGAGCAAAGAGACAAACGGTACATGGTCTCCCTGATAAGTGAATGTTAAATCCAAAATGTAAGGTGATATGACAAACTTAACAAGACTTAAGAAACAAAGGACTTCCACTCATCTGGTCAAATCACTACTAAATAACCCCATGCTGCTGATGACATATATTGTATATATGTGCACATTGGAGGGAAACCAGGAGGACAACACAGAACTAGAGGGAATCAGGGGAAAACATATAACAGCGGGACCCATCAGCTGCACTGGACATTGACCAAAATGAACTAAGCAACTCAATGGCAGCGATGGGAGAGAGGGAACAAGTGGAAAAGAGGGAACAGCTGATGCTATGCAAAATAAAAGAAATGTACATATCACCCAATGTAGAAAAAATAACTGTATTGCAAAGCTCATAGAACTCATAAATGTTATAGTCCATGATAGACAATATGCCCCATGAAAGTTAGACTGTATTTGTGACTTTAAGCATCACTATCCCACAATACTGTGAAACTGGGGAAATTATGTAACCACTTAATCACAATAAAGAATATAAAAAAAAAGGACACAGGTTGACCCATTGCAACAATGATATTCACAAGACACTGTTGGAAATGAAATTCATAACTTGTAGGTAAGGGGAAGAAGTGGGGGAGGGAAGGGATAGTAGGAGAAAAACCAAAAGGGGGTAACAATGCTTGACAAGAAATGTACTCATTACCTTACTCTTATAACTGTAACCCCTCTGTACAGCATCTTTACAATATATGAAACAACAAAGATGTATTTGTATGAATTAGAAATTCTGAATTAAATTTAAAACAAACCAGAACAGTCAAAACTTAGGGTTTAATGCTCAGCATTGAAGGGGGGGTGGATAAAATTAAAACAGTATTCTATGTATAGATATTTAAATGCCTTATTTCAGAGTAATTCAGTATGGTTATTTCTCTTGTTCTGTGATTTCTTCTACTAGGACCAAATCTCTTCCTATCTTAATCTAAAATAATGCCACAGTACAACTCCCCAACATGTGACTTATCAGTCTATAAAATGCTAACTAGGTTTCTCCAAATAAAGAATCTGTGTTCTTTTTTATATATTTCTATACTGTTTATATTCTTTTTTCCACAATGAACATATAAAAACTGATCCATAAGACATAAAAAAA